CAAGTCAGGTGGCCACCACCCACCACCGGTGGGCAGCCCAGTTTCCAGCACAAAAGCCCATCCCCAGTGCAGCCCACTCACACCAACCCCTGAGCCCCTGCCAGGTCTCCAGGAACAGGGGGAGCAGGCGGCAAAGAGGGAGAAGCAAAGGACTCTGCATTCCCACCAAGAGGCTAGGACGGACTCTCCAGGAACCACTGGAGAACCAGAACCTTCCGAGGAGGGCTCACCAGCAACTCAGGAAGTGCAACACAACAGGCAGGAGAAATCCAGAGACTTCTCATTGAATGCTTCTGCTTCAAAGCTCAGACAAAAATTTTTTTTGTTGTTTTTTTGTTTGTTGTTTTTTAAAAAGTCCTTATTGTCTGGGACTTTCTTTAAATAATCCACAGGGATAGAGGGTAGTGGAGGTCTAGCTCAGAGGTCGGCAAACTTTTCCCTGTAAAGGGCTAGACAGAAAATATTTTAGGCTTTAAGGGCCAGGAGGTAAAATTAGTATTATGTTGGCATGAGAGAAAACAAATTTGCAGAATTTTTTAATTGATGAAACTCAAAATTAATAATTGAGTAAATTTTTGGATAATACAGGTCCAACACAGGTCTGCTAATGAGAATGGAATTCTTTTGGTGGAGGAGCATAACATTTCACTTAATTGGGTTCAAAGATAATGTTTCCTAACATCAAACCGACAGCAAAAGCAGGCACCAACCTGGGTCTGGCTCACCACTCGCTGGCCCCTGAGGAGAGGCACATGACGGTTACTGGTGATGGGGACCAGGGCTGATTATATTGTCCTCTCTGATGCATATCTAAAAACTTTCCATGATAAAAAGTTTCTCTGTCCCCTGCAGTCCACCCAGGGCTCCTCAGGGTGAAGGATGTGAGGACAGGGACACACTGGCCCTGGAAAGGAAGTGGCTTAGCTGCTGGATGGCAGGGATGGCTGTCCCAAGCCCAGGTGGTGACCAGCCCTCCCGTCTCCTCCCATCAGCTGCCTGCACAGGGCAGCAAATCCACGCCTCAGAGCTACTTCCTGGGACACTGCAGCCAGAAGGGAGAGGACAGGAGCCACCAGCATGGGAACTGCCACTCAGATCTATTCAGTTACCCACAGGGTTAGGGGAACTCTGCAAGTGCAGTGGAGTGCTTTCAGGAGCTCTGAGGGTGAACACATGTGTGTATCTTCTCTCCCTCTGGGGTTCTTTAAAAAGCTGCTGCTGCCGAGGAGTAGCCACTGCCTAGAACATGTGGCAGGGGGTGGGGGAGGCCCCGGGAGTTACTGCTCTGCCTGGAACACATGTGTGTATCTTCTCTCCCTCTGGGGTTCTTTAAAAAGCTGCTGCTGCCGAGGAGCAGCCACTGCCTAGAACATGTGGCAGGGGGTGGGGGAGGCCCCGGGAGTTACTGCTCTGCCCACACCCAGACCTCTGGACTCAAGAGCTCACGGGAAGACACTACACAGAAGTAGGAAGCGCTGTGGCTTTTCTGTACTTTAATTAAATACAAATAAAACCTACAGCTTTAGCTCTTCTGACTCTTGTGGAAGGGACGACCTGCTGAATTAGGTGACTGAGACATTTTGGTACTATATTACCACGTGTACTCTTTTTTTTTTTTTTGGCAGCTGGCTGATTCAGGGATCCAAACACATGACCTTCATTATAAGGCTGCACTCTAACTAAGCTAACCAACCAGTCCTATTCACTTTTTTGACACTATTTCCTATTTCTTTGTAAGCTACAAGATTTAACTATAACCATTAGAAGGAAAGGCGAGAGATGCCAGCAGGCATGTCAGAGAATGGAAGAATCTACTAACAGCAAACTTAAGGTAACAGATCTTTATTAGACTCTCTTTTGGAATTAAGAAGTAGAAATATTACCCTACCACATTTTTTAGAATTAAAGTTTAGCCTGCCATCACTTCGCCTGGGTAGTAGCACCACTGAGGTATAGCGACTACAGATACCTTGAAGGGCTGGAAGTCAAAAAACCAAAGGTCTAGTCCTGGTTCTTCCACTAATGGGCTATGTGACCTTGAGCAAATTATTCCACTTCTATGTGACTATTTCCTTATGGCTCAAAAAAGGAAATGACAGGTCTTGACCCTCCCCTAGGACTGGCGTGTAGAGCTGGAACATGCACCAGGAAAGACTGTAGAACATCTATGAGTGATCTGACCCAGTACTGCTGAGAGAGGAAAAGGAGGAGATAGCAAGAAGAGAAGGTGACCTTCACAACGACAGCGACATGTCCCAGAAAAAAAGATCCAGTAAGACTCCAGGACCTTTAGCAAAAGTGCCAAGACAATTCCATGGGGAAAGAACAGTCTTTTCAACCATCAGTGGTGGGGCAAGTGAATACCCACATGTAAAGATGAAGTTGGACCCCAGCTTCACACCAGATACAAAAATTAACTCAAAATGGATCAAAGACCATTGTGAGAACTAAGACTACAGAAGTCCTTAGAAAAAAACATACGCATAAGTCTTCTTGACCTTGGATTAGGCAGTGATTTCTGAGATACGGCAATGAAAGCACCAGCAACAAAAGAAAAAGTAGGTATCTTGGACAACATCAAAATTAAAAACTTTTGTGCTTCAAAAGACACCATCAAGAAAGTGAAAATAATCCACGAAATGGGAGGAAATTTTTATAAATCATACATCTGATAAAGGACCTGTATCTTGAATATACAAAGAACTCATACAACTCAATAATACAAAGACAAATAACCCAATTAAAAATGGGCAAAGGAACAGACCTTTCTCCAAAGAAGGTATACATATGGCCAACAAAGATGCACATGAAAAGATGCTCAACATCACTAGCCATCAGGGGAATGCAAATCGAAACCACAGTGAGAAAACACTCCACACCCACTAGGATGGCTGTAATCAGAGAGACAGATAACAGTGAGTGTCAGGAAGGATGCGGGGAACTCTCATCCGCTGCTGGTAGGAATGTAAAACAGTGCAACTGCTGTGGAAAAGTCTGGCACTTCCTCAAAAAGTTAAACAGAGCTTAAAGTATAGGCCCAGCAATTTCACTCCTATGTATATTTCCAAAAGAAATGAAAACATATACCCACACAAAAACATACAAGTATGTTCATAGCAGTACTGTTCATAACACCCAAAAAGTAGAAACAACCCAAATGTCCATCAACTGATGGATAAACAAAACGTGGTACATCCATACAATGAAATATTATTTGCCAGTAAAAAGGAATGAAGTACTAACACATGCTCAACATGGATGGCCCTAGAAAACATTTTGCTGAGTGAAAGAAGCCAGTCACAAAAGACCATATTATATGATTCCATGTATATGAAATTGTCTGGAATAGGTCTATCTATATCAGTATAGAAAGTAGATTCCTGGTTGCCTAGGACTGGGGGAGCTGGCAGAAAAGTGGGGGAGCGATAGCCAAAGTGTACAGCATTTCTTTTGGGGGTGATGAAAATGTTCTAAAGTTGATTGTGATCCTGTGAACTGTGATTTCATGAACTTACTAAAAAACATAGAATTGTACACTATAAACAGATAAACTGTATGGTATGTGAATTATCTCTCAGTAAAACTGTTAACCCGCTCCCCGCTTCCCCCCTAAACAAGGAAAAGGACCAGCAGCCTGTCTTCACTGTGCAAGAACACCATGGCTGTTGTCCCAACATAATTATTAGCAGAGATGTTTTCATACTCAGAACTGTCCTGGTTTGTGTGACAAATATAAATATCATATATCACACAGGTGGACTTTGCCCCTCTGGGCCTCAGTTTCCCCATCTGTTAAGCAAAATCTACCCAGTTCTGACAATTTTTGAGCCTAGCACTATATGCCACACAAGCTCCATTTTAGAGGCTGTAAAATTCTACTCAGGTGGTCATAGGGTTCACCATGGTTTGGAAGATAAACCTAAATTAGCAAAGAGTTGAAGCCCTGGGCGAGTATAGAACATTGGATCCCAGGATCCAGAGGCAAGACAAAAACTAATTCCTGAGTCTATCACAGTTATTGATACTAAAGTTTTCCCATAGTTAGGCCACTAAGAAAGGCAATCCATTACTTCTGCATTTGAAGGGGGGAGCAGGGAGAAGCAGGCAAAATACCCTAAACATATCCCCTACAAATGAAAAAAGATTAAAAGTTTAAATGAGGGCTCCTACAGAAAATACAATGTCCCTAGGAAACTAGGCAAATTTATCAATGGTTAACGAAGGTCTTCTCTAAATTCGATATTGTAAGTCCATCCAAGAGGGCCTGGTATTATGATGGTCAAGGTCATTCCTAGTTCTACCCAAGATTGCTTAGGAAATAAAATTATACCGAAGTAGCTCAAGAAGAAATCATTTTGTTCACATCCCTTTTCTACTCATGAGAATATGGGTATTATGATGGTCAAGGTCATTCCTAGTTCTACCCAAGATTGCTTAGGAAATAAAATTATGCCGAAGTAGCTCAAGAAGAAATCATTTTGTTCACATCCCTTTTCTACTCATGAGAATATGGCTGCAAATAGTCTTTCTACTCCTAGCCCACCCACCCCCCAACCCCTCAAAGGGCATCTGAGACAGGTTGTACACGTACATTGTGCTGCCTACCATGCCAATGCTGAGATACCAGCACATCTCTGGGCTTTGCAGCAGCAGGTCTTTAGAAACAAGGTAATGGTAAAAGAAGCAGAAGGCACAGAATAACTCCACTCCCATCAATTTATCCAAGAACAGGAAAGACAGATGCCCACCAGGGTTGCTGGGAAGGGAAGCAAAAATGGAGACGGGAAAACAGGGCAAGCCGCCCTGTAAAGTCAGCAGTGCTGGGCATGGAGCCAGCTACCAGAAGAGGAGGTGAAGGTACAGGGTAAGGCAGAGCTCTCTCTGGAGGCAGCAGAGTGGTCAGGAGGGACCAGTACCAGTGGCACCAAGATACCCAATGAGCCTCCAACTAAGGGCAAGGGGTTTCAGAGGAGATGCCCCCAATGTTTGCCTCTTTAGAATCTCAGGATTGGGAAAAAGAACAAGGAATTGATCAAAGGCTGGAGGCAAGAAGAAGGGAGAGAGGAGCCACTGGCTTTCTGCACACTAGATTGCGTCCATGGGTTTCGGCTGGTTGATGGTCTGCAGCTTTCATAGACTGGGCAGGGTGCCTCCTAGCCTCAGTGTGCCAGGTGAGGCTGCAGCTTACAGTGGTACAATTTCTACATCCAAGGGTGTTCCATGGGGCTGGGAGTTGGAGGCAGGTGCATGTCCTACTTCTGCTCAGAGTCCACATTTCAGGATAATATGGTAGCCGTCATTACTCTCAGCTGCAAGAGAGAAGCACGGGGCATATTTCACTGGAAGAAAGGCACAGTTCCATGGTATTTGGGAGTCCCAGAAGGCACAGTATTAGGGTATCAGCAGAGATCACCAGAATAAGGCTGTGTAAAGCCAAGAGTGCTGACAGAGCAGGGATTTCAATACATGCCTTGTGTAATTATTTTTTGACAATGGGCATTTCCACCATAGCCCGAGCCCAAGGACATAAGGCCCTATATCCAAGGAGGCTTTGGACAAACAGTGATTCTCAGGGATGCTACAGCCCCCAGGCCCTAAAGGTACTCTGGCTAGATTCAAAGAAAAAGGGTAGACGTGAACTCATCAATGGTTCAGGGTCTCTGATCCAGTCAGAGAGTTCCCTCTGATATACCCCACACACTCGCCTTCCCAGCTCTAAGGAAGGTCACAGCAGGTCTTTTTCTACCTTTTTAATAAACACGTGCTCCTGGCATGGGAGCTCTTTCTCAGCAGAGCACAGGCAGGCTGCTGTCCTTCCAGGACTCCATCCTCAGGTGGGCCCTCACGTTCACCCCACCCCCAAGTCCCTGACCTAACACTGCCTGCTGACTCAGCTACTATATTCCATGTTTGGTCTCCAGGATGCTGGAGACTGTCCAGGAAAATTCAAATGCATCTTCATTCTACTCAGCCCTGAGTTCACGGAGAACAAATTACCTGGTCCAGGATTTCCCTTTCAGAAGTGATTTTGGGGCCAATCTCACCAGGTCTGGCATTTCTAGGGCTAAGCGTCACAGGAAGTTTGTGTTCTTTTTCCCAAAGGCTGTTTCCAGGTAAGCTTCCTCTGCAGGCACCACCATGCAGGCAGGCCCCACCCATGCAGCTGGATCTCCCCTGCCCCACTGCCCAAGCATCCGGAGCCCACCTGCTTCTATTAAACAAGAAAAGAAGGAAGAGTTGGGGGCTTTACCTTTTAATGTGCTGAGGATAAAACAAGATTCATCTTGGAAATTCTGCACCATCTGAAAAGCACAAGAGAGAACACTATTCCTCACAATATGAAAAGTCTCAGTGACATGAGGCCCAGCCACTCACAGCCATGACACTGCCACAGCGTCCACACAAAGGCAGGATCATGGTTCTGCTACAATATTTACCGAGAAAACGATGACACAGAATCAACATGTGACATGGTTGCAATTTCAAGTAACAGAAACCCAAACTTAAAGGAAGGGAAGAAGCCTGGAAAGGAATCAAGATGTTGCCATTTAATAGAAGACTGTGGCTTTTGTCTGTTCTTGTTTTGCTTTTTCTTGGTTACTGGGCCTTCCAATCCCTATAATATAAACATCACAGGATGTGTGTGTCTATACAGTTGGTCCTCCATATCCATGGGCTCTGCATACCAGGACCGAAAATAATACAAAGTAAAAACAGAATACAGTATAACAACTATTTACACAGCATTTACACTGTGTGAGGTATTATAAGATGGGAGGATGTGCATAGTTTATATGCAAATACCACACTACTTTATATCAGAGACTTGAGCATCCTCAGATTTTGGTATCCTTCGGGGTGCTGGAATCAACCCCCCACAGATACTGAGGGACAACTGTAATAGCAATAGGTAAATAACTAAAAATAAGTAAATAAATAATTAAAAACTTGGTAATTATTAGGATATGCATAATCGGCATCCTATGAGGACAAAATATAAAGGCAGGTGCCACTCCAAGTGCCTACAGATGTGGCAGGAAACTCACAAGTACTCACAAGCCACCTGTCTGGAGTTCTAATTTCGATTAACCATCCAATGACTTTGCACAAGTCAACCTTTTTTTCTTCCTGTCTCCAAAGCCCTATCTGTAAAATGGGGCTGAACCAATGATAAAAATATAACCAGGATGTAGAGCAGTGGGAACCAGCATCCACTGCTGGTGGGGGTGAGAATCTCTAGAAAACTGTTCATGTGTATGCAAAAGATATGCACAAGAATGTTTAGAGCAGCACTGTCTGTAGTAATACAAAACTCAAAACAGATCCAGCGTCAGTCAACAGTAGCAGCATGAGCCAATTATGATCTAATCATGCCTGCTGCTCAGTGGTGCCAAAGATCCCCAGCTGTACACCTCAACAGGCGTAGTTCTCAAAAATATACTGAGGAATGAAAGAAGGTCACAGAAAACACTATTATTCCACTTACATGAAGTTTTAAAATAGGCAAATTCAAACAATACCTTGAGGAAGAACAAGGGAATAATTAATACAAAATTCGGACTAGCAGGTGGAAGAACATGAAATGAGCCCACAAAGGGCTTCTACCAACATTCTAGTAACCCAAAGGCGGGTTTATTCTTTAAACTGTACAGGTAAGTTTTCTTTGCACATGTGTGCTATATTTCACAACATACATTTAAAGAATATTAAACATATAGACAAAACACAAACACTAGCCAATACAACAGCAAACCCCTTTCTAAATTCAAAAAACACTACTGACATTTTATTGTCTCCTCTGGATTCCTGCTTCAAATCTTGCAAATCCATCCACCTGTCGACCCCTGCCCCTCCCCGCAGAGCCTAACGATGCGTGAAGTACATTTATTCTATACTGCTGGCCTGCTCCATGTAGGACTCTTGGCAGCCCAAGCAGTTGGGCATGCCGAGCCTTAGGCAGAGCCCACATGGGCTTAATCAGTAACTCCCTTGTTTAATTAAGTGCCCTTGCACCCCAGGGGCCGGCTCCGCGGCTGGCCAGGCTGCCTCCAGCGCTGCAGGCAGTTAAGAACCAAAGGTTTCCAATTGATTTGAGGTTAAGAGGCAAGGAGACTTTGGAGAATAAGAATTGCCTATTTAGCAAAGGTGGCATTTGCGTTCTGCTCTCTGCTTCACTTGCTTGACTGCCTGCTTTTGAGGGCACAGGGCATGCTTGAGAAGGAACTTCCTTCAGGGACCCATGAAATTGCAAGGTTTCCCCACATTCTTGGCTTTCGTCTTCCGAAAAAGAAATTCATTCTGAAATGCAAAGTGACAAGCCTTCCATGCCACCACAGCTGCCTGCTGCTCAGGTCACTTCACATTCCTGGCTATTCTAAAGTAAACTCTTTAAGTCAGGAACTTAGGGCTCCATTTCCCTTATCTGTAAAATGGGGGTTAAAAAAAAAGCTGTGTTAGATTTGAATGTAATAACATAAAAGGAATTCTGAATTGGTGACAAAAACAGCAAGTTGCAGACAAATGTAGAGCTGGATCTTTGTTGTGTGTTTTAAAAACCCACACCTACACACACTAGGGCACACACGCACGCACAGAAACTTACCCGGCAGGATCACATTAAACCTAATATAAACTCCTCTAGGTAAAGTGTGGGGAAGATAAGCATTTTTCACATATGTTTTCTGTAGTTCTATATTGCTTGACCTGTACTAATAATTATGGATTACTTCTGAATTAAAAAGGAAGGGAAAAAACCACCTTGCCGACCTCTAGGATTGAGATGAAACTCCCATGAACATTAAAGGGCTCTGTCAGTTGTAATGACAAGTGGCAATAGGATCATTACTAATAATGACAACTTATGAAATATACAGATCATCAAAAGCCTTACACTTTAAACACTGCCAAATCTAAAGAGATCTCCCCACCACTTGCTCCCCAAAATAACAAGAGCCTAGCATGAACAGTCAATTATAAGACACACCCATTGTTTAGTGACGCCTGATGCCTGACGCTGTTTTCTCATTTTATCCTTGCTACAACCTGCCTGATTGGTGTAACTATCCCCGTTATGAAGATTTGGAAACAGGTTCAGAGAGGTTACGTAAATTTCCCCAAGGTCACTTAGCTATTAGGAGGAAGTTCTAAGTGGGGACATCAGTCCAATTCCAAAGCTCACATTTTCTCTAGTTTTCCCAGTCACTATTCCTGTACCCAGTTTCCTCTATAACCCTCTCCACAAAGGATTTCAGAGTTCCCAGAATTGGCTTAGGATCTACTGGGGTCTGAGCTGGGGGCTCAGGGTTTCACTCCTGTTCCCCCCCCCAGCACAGATCTTCTTTTAAAAGCTTCATTTTAGGAGGGGTTGGATTCCTGCTGGCTCAGAGCACGGGCTCTGCAGCTAGACTACCTGGGTTCCCACCATAGCTCCACCCCTTACCAGCTGTGTGACTCAGTCTCTCTGTGCTTCAGTTTTCTATCTGTGAAATGGGATAGTGATAGCACCCACTTTATAGGGAGGCTGTCAGGGTTAAATGAGTACTATGTGTACCCTTAAAACAGTAGCCAGGACACAGTAAGCACTCAGTAAATGCTGGCACTTGTCACTATTAAAATTAGGAGGAAGTGGTACGGGATAGAACAAGCTTAAAAGCCTCTGTTCTACAACATGCAAAGAATGCCTAAACTTTTGGGCAAGCCTGTTCAATAACCCTATCCTTAGCCATGTGTGGGCACAGTTCCAACAGGGCACTGTTTGATAGCTGAGCCCATTGCCTGTGGCTCTGCCTGCGGCTCCCCACCCCCGTTGGCAGGGACAGACCCAGGGTCGCTGTGGCACCTTCACTGTTTAACAGAGACCTCTGCTCTCTTCTCCCGCAAGCCACAGCTTCTCCGTCACCCACACCCCAGAGCCCATTTCACCCCCCTCCAGGGCCTGCCGCCCCCCCCTGGGTAAGAACCCTTCTCCTGACTTCCACAGCACTGACTATAGACACCTGCAGGGCACCCAGCCAAGGGTGGCTACATAACAGCATCCAGACCCAGACCCACACCTAGACGTGGCCTCACAACCCTCCCTCACGCACTCCAGGCAGCCTCTGCCTGTCATAGCTTTCACATGCATGCTGCCAGGGTGCATTTCTGGGGCAGATGTCCTGATGTTCCTCCTGTCCTGAGGCAGTGCAAAGCCTTGGTCACCAGGGCTGGGCTGGGCGGCAGTCCTCACCTCGTTGCTCACCACCACATGGATGCCTGTGGGTCCCTGCCGGTAGACCCTGTGAATGTGCTGGGGGGAGATGCTGTACAGGTTGGCAATCTTCTCAATCAACTCCAGGGTAGTCAGCTCTTCCAAGAAGATGGCATGGTACACTGGGGGAGGGAAGAAAAAGCGCCTGCTGTTTAAGTGGCCATGAAATCAGCACAAGCATGCCCACACCCCTCCACCCCACCTGAGAAATCAGTAACTTGTTCGTAAGGATGCTCACGCCCAGAGTGATTCGGCAGGCCCGGGCTGTGATGGGCACCTGCTGGAAGCCAAGCAGCCAGGAGCACTGGCACCGCGCCTCTGTGCAGCCACCGACAGGTAAAAAGATTCCACATGTGGCTCTTTATTCCTTTTGGTCTCTCTTGGGGCACTTACATGAAATGTGGAGATTCCTAGACCCATCCCAGACCCAATGCACCCAGTGAGGGGTGAGTATGACCTGTGGCCAGATGTCACCATGCTTCGAGAGGGAGGGGAGGTCCTGTGTCCCCTTCCATTCCTTCCTCTGTGTAAAGGTTACTGGACAGCTGTGGGTGCCAGAGTGAAAGTGAGATGACTGCCACTTGCCAGAAGAAAAGAGAAGGTTTGATCCTCGCCATTCCTCACAACATAAGCCACACTCAGCACTGTAACCCAAGGGAGAAGAAGTGCACTAGGATGCCATCAGCAAGTCAGAAGATAATGATGACATTGACACTGGAAATGCAAAACCCAAACCAGCTGGGTAGGAGCAAACTCCACAGGTGACCCAGGGTGGATTACTCAATTTTAAGGGGACTTGAGTTCCTCAAAAGTAAATGCAAGTGGATTAAATTTGAGGTTCCTAAACCTCTCCCTCAACAAAGAAATCTTTGGTTCAAAAACACCTGTTCAAGCACACACACAGGCTGGCTCCCTTCAAAGGGGTGACAGAGGCCATGTGTTTCCAGCCACCAGACAGAGCCTCTTTCCCAGCATTTAAATAGGCTGTACTAGGATATCATCTGCGCTGCAGGACCACCCTGAGGTCACATCACTGAGCAGGTGCACAAGCTTGGCTGCACTTTCCACAAGTGTGGGAATCTAGAAGCCAAGAAATGTCCTTCACAGGCTGACAGCCGAGAAGCAGGGGTGAGGGTCTGGACAATAATGGGACTGGGGCTAAAAGCCAGGCTGCCAGTCTGAACGTTTGGGTCCTGGCTCCACTCCCCACCACTCACCACACAGACTGCTGTCCCCAGTGCCATCCTGCTTCTGCTGTGGGGGTGCTCGGTTCTGCTCCAGCTCCTGGCAGACATAAATGGTCATCTTCGGCCTCACATTCCTGGCAGGAGGACAGGAAATAAATAGCAGGTGTGGAGGACACCAAGCTCTGTTGTTCCAGAATGTTCCAGAATATTCCAGAACATGAGACGGGGGCAGCAGTGGTAGGATGGCTGTGGGGATGCAGAATGTCTTTCATGGGGGGTGGGAAGGGGCAGAATCCTGTCCAGGTGGACCTTTAAAGGCTTCTCACAGGCTTGACTGCAGGCAGAGGGATGGATGGCCACTCCCAGGTCCTGCAACCTGCCAAGCAGAGGTCTACCCCAGAACACGGATCTCAAGATATGAGGGGTTTTTCAGGGTGATAATAGAGCCAACACCATCTCTGGCTTAGTCTGTGCCCGGCACTGTTCTCAGAACTTCATATGCCTAACTCATACCATCCTCACAGAGCCTGCGAGGGAGCCACCACCACTGTCCTCGTTTCATAGACAGGAAACTGAGTCTCACGGGGTTCAGGGCTCTGCTCTGTTGCACAGTTCACAGAGGCCAATGTGGGATGCAAACCCAGACTCACTCACTCTTGCACTATAAAACTGTGCTGTCCATATGTGGCTACTAATGTGTAAATTCACTAAAGTTAAATAAAAATTAAAGCTCAGTTTGTCCACTGCCTTAGCCTCAGTTCAAGTGCTCCAAGTCACATGTGGCCAGTGGTTCCTATGCTGGACAGCACAGCTACAGACGCTTCCACCGTGGCAGGAAGTTCTGTGGGGCAGCACTGCTCTAGAGTCTGCCCTGAAGGCTGCTACGTGATACCGGCTGTCCTGGCTTCCCTCAGGGAGGAGGCAGCTGGGAGCCCAGGACCACACGAGCATCTGAGAACCTGGCCCCAAGGGTCCCGTCGCAGTGCCTCACTGCCACATTGCAGCCTGTGCCCCTCCCACCCCACCTCCTCCTGCACTTGCCCCCACACTGCTGGAAGGTCCCCGCCTGAGCAGCCACGTCCCAATCGGCCCATATGCTGTCCAAGAGGCTGAGATAGGGGATTCCTACCACACATGCTGGGGTGACGGCCTCTGGGCAACTATGTTGAGAAACCGACACCCACCTGCCTTTGATGGCATTGAAGAGCCGGATCCCATCCGCGGGGCCACAGATTTGAACCAAATCATCTCGGGACATCTTCAGCAAGTCGGCACCTAGACAGGAAAATGGGACTGCTGGTTACGTGGGACACAGAGAAAGAGCTCCATCCCCAAGGACTTGCAGACTCCACACAGGTGGGGGCAGGGAGGAGCCAGCCTCAGGCTCAGTGGGCTCCAGACATCCCATGGAGAGAGAAACAGCACAGAGCTAACCAACAGCAGAAGATCACAGCCCACGAGATTTCAGAAGCTAACTGGCTGCTGCTTACAAAAGTGCATGGAACAGAGGTCAACTCACCGCCTGTGTCTGCCTGCCCCCGCCTCTGTACTTTCTATGTGCACAGATTTTATTGCATATAGGCACTGATGACATGTGCACCTCTGTATACAGAAGTATAAAGCTTGCTAGATGTTGACTATATGAACTCACCTGCATACTGGCAACCAGATCAAGTGGCAGAACATTAACAGCCCTAGGCAGGTCTTCGTGCCAGCTAGAGCCCCCACCTCTAGGGAACCACCCTTCTGACTTCTAGCAGTATAGACGAGTTTTACTTGTGCTCTGAAGTTAACAGAAATGGTACTGAATGGCAGGCATTCGTCCAGGTTTGGCTTTCCTTTCCCAGGTTATGTTTCAGGGTCCACTCATGATGAGTGTCGTCAGATCATTTGTGGCCATTATTATCCATTACTCGTCTCAAGAATGTACGACCATCACGCATCCACTCTCTGCTGATGGGCACAGTTATGTTTCAGGGTCCACTCATGATGAGTGTCGTCAGATCATTTGTGGCCATTATTATCCACTACTCGTCTCAAGAATGTACGACCATCACGCATCCACTCTCTGCTGATGGGCACGGGTTTCCTGTCCGGGGCTATTGTGAACCTCTCGCCTGTCTTTGGTCAATACGTGTGTGTGTCTGCCAGGACATGGGCCCACATGCATTTGGCTACAGCAGACACTGCTCAACCATTTCCCAAAGCCTCATATCCACATACAGTCCCACCAGCAGTGTGCAAGTATTGGCCCACGTTTAAAGGAACACAGGAAGTTGGCTATCTCCCAGGGACAGAGGAGAATGGCACGTGAGAAGCGAGCACAGCATGAGGACTGTCCCTG